CCCTATCCATTGGCCAACGTGTTATGTTTTAACAGCTATTGTTTCCTATCTGATATTATAGAAATCTACCTGTTATCATGTTATATATTAATTCATCCCCTTTCCCAAGTATCAAGGAGATACTCTGCTAAGCAAGAAGAGATGCAAAGTCAACTCTCAGGTCTGGGAAAATGCAACACATCTCATGTTTCCAAATTTTCAGGTAAGTGGCAGTGTGACCAGGTTTTCAGCCCCAGAAAGCTTCCATTGTAGGATTGCAGTTCTGGCCAGCCCTGCAAGCAGCCGTCATGGAGTGCAGAGACAAAGAACTCAAAACCAGAAACCTCTGTGAGTAGAGGCAACCTGTGTAAGCCACTCGAACCATTTTGTGCTCCTGCTTCTTCAGCTGTCAAGTGTGCTAGATGATTATGCTTTTAAAAGGAGAATTAAATTTGCAGGGACATAATGAGAAGAAGCACAATGTAGATACATGATAGCACAGTTTTATATTCCCAGGGTCTAAATCAGGATCTGGTATGTAAAACAATTATAATTGTTTATAATGGGCTTGATTCTAGTATGGAGCTAGGCGATCCCTGAAAGGCACCAAGATTAATTTTATGGCTTTCTACATCTCTTCATAGCCCATGCTGAGTTGCAGTATTAGATCTGCTATATTTAAGGTACATTTTAAGTATAATTTGAATCGAATTATAATTTTGGAAGTAAACTTTAAGGCTTGGGGCGGGGGGGAGCAAGGAAGTGCTGTTTAGGCCACCTAGGCCACCTGCATAAACAGACTCTGTGTTGCACTGTGCAACGTATGTTTCCCAGCAGCCACTTTTGCTCCAATGACATGCTACGTAATCCTTTAAGCCAAATTCTGAATAGCATCAGAGTGCCAAAAAATATACTCAAAATCCTTACTTATTACTAAGCTTTTTGTTGTTATTATAATAGACTAATTTTTAGAGTTTCGAGCCAAACTGAGTATAAAGTACAGCGATTTCCCATATACTCTGTCCCCCACATCGACATTAGTACCAGAGCAGTATTTCTGTTACAACTGATAAACTATTATTGACATAAGACAATTACTGAAAGTCCATAGTGTACTTTAGGATTCATTGTTGTTGGTGTGTACATATTATTAGTTTGCACAAATGTGTGGTGGACATTTTGTAATCTTAGAGAGTAATTTCACTGCCTAAAACAATTCTCTACTTTGTGGACCCATCTGCCCATCACCCCCAGCCCTGGCAGCTCGCAACTTTCTACTTGGTTCCATGGTACTACATTTTCCAGAACATGATAGTTTTGCTTCCTTCATTTTCAAAAGCAGGGACATTATATTTTTTTATATTCTTATCAGCTAATAAAATAATACCTTAAATCAACTTTGTTGAAATAATCTTTTGTTTTGCATAGTGAGCTGGTAAGAGCAAAAGTTATGAAAAAGAAATATAAATTAAGCTGTTTGAGACCCTTATAAATAAGCAGAGTGGAGTATTTAGCTGCCTTTTATTTATCATATAAGAAGAAACAAGTCTTGTTCAAGTACATTTAAGAACCTCTGAGATGGAATGACTTGTGCTTTATTTTCTGATACCGATCCAGTAAAGATTAGAAGTAATCTCTGAAGTGATGATTTAAGTATCCTGATCACTTGTATTTCTTCTGAAATGAACTAAATGTGTTTGGTTTACTATGTGTTTCTGATTTATTATTTATTCAGTTCCCTTTCAAAGTTACCTTTTGGAATTCAGTGTTGGTGTGTGTCACTGCCAATATATATCAAAAGCTACTTCTTTCCCAAAATAATTTAGTAAACAGTTTATCAACAAATAAATACCTGTGGCTTTCTTCCAAGGGCTTTTTTAGTATAACACTTTCCTCTTGAATTTTGTGTTTTCCATCCTGCCAAAAGAAAACAACCCAATTTATTAATTATTCAGAATGCTAAACAGTGATAAAGCTGCAAACATTTTCTTCTATATTGTCTCAGCATGGGTATAAAGATAAATAGCTTTTTTAAATTAGGGTAGGAATTTAAACTTCCAAGTTCTTCCTCACTCTTTGCTTTAAGAAGTTTCTTAGTAAATTATTCTGACAGAATTTGCAATAAATGATTTTCAGGGAAGACATTTTTTAAAAAAAAAATCTGGGGATCCAAATGAAATTCACAATGTACCCTATTTACTCAAAAAGTGGGCTCAAATTATTAGTTACTTCTTAGTAAGTGTATTTTAAATACATAGCATAAAGTACATTAAAAACTTATTTTTCTAGCTGAGCTCTGGAAATGCTAAGACCAAGGCATGGCATGAGGAGCAGACTGTAACCCTCTTGGTACACAGTCAGGTAGATGCCACAACTTCTACAGCCTCAGTAACGGAAGGTTCTTTACTCTGAGGATCAATGTGAAGTCTCACGCTGAATTGCTACCAGTGTTTTCAGGCTCATAAACAGTTGCCTGTCATAAATTATTGCCCATTAGCTTCCAAAAGTAGAAGGTGTTCTTACATCACTTAAGCATGAAGAAATCATATTAGTACAAAAATTACCCCCTTGGAAATCCCACTACAAGGTATTTTAAAACAAAAATTTAAGGCCTCACTGGAAAAGTGAGGCCATGTTTGCTAAACATGATCATAAAGACAGCATGCAATAGAGAGTGGTATTCTGCACACTTTAAATTAGTAATAAAGAGTACTATGTAATAAATGTCCATTTACTACCCTTTCTGACTTTCTATCAAATGGGCAGTTTATTCCTTAGAAATTTTAAGTAAGAAACTTAAAAATATGTCCTACTTTGTTATATATAGTGTATAACAAGGAGGTAACCACCCGCCCCCTGACCCCAGTTTGTTTTTGACAGAAAAAACATTTTATGTTTTTCTGTATTATCTGAAGAAACTGGCTCCTATTTTTGGGTCCCAGAGGCTACCTTATCCCATCTTAGCTCCAATTCCATTGTAGGTGGCAGACAGGTTTGTTTCCTAGCACTGTTCCATAGAAACTTTACTCCTGGGGTCTCTCTAGAGATGAAGGGGTTAAAGTCTCAGTGCTGTCAAGCTCTTAACCTCTGCAGCCAGAGAGCTGACTCACATATGGTGCAGCAGACCTCTCCTGTCTCACCCACTGTTCCCCTCAGCAGTGTATTTCAGTGGATCCACCTGTTCTGCTCCCCGCTCTGTCTCTGGTGAATCCTCTCATCTTCCACAACTCTGGCCTACACCCCAGTTCTTGTATGCATAAATAAATAAGACTTTTTTTTTTTTTAAAAAGAAACATACATTTCTGTTCTTTAAACCACTCTATATTACTTTCTCTTCCCCCACCTCCCCTTTTTCTTATTTTCTCAAGAGAAGTATTTGGCAAATGATAAAACTGAAATTTCTCATGATTCTGAAAAAGGTGTACAGAAGTAAATTCACAATGAAGTAAATTCTGTTAAAGGGGACTTCAAATTGGGGAGGGATTACTATGCCATATTCTTTTTAAAAATCAACCAGTAGAGGCCCAAGAACCAAAGTTTTGTTAAGGTACTAAATTAATTAATCTTACTTAACAAACTGAAAGGGATTAAGAGTCGCTGGAAATCAGGTTGTTAAAATCCCCCTTTTCAATTGAAATCAAGTGAGACTATATTAGAGGGAGACTCCGGAACAAGTGTTCACATGATTAACTCCATCTCTACTGTCTCCATATTCAAGACCATTGCAATTAAGTATGTGTTCCAGAAAACTCTCTAAAAATGAAGTAAAAGAACAAGGGAATAACAAGTATTACCGTTTCGGGCTCTGGCTTCTGGGAACCCCTTCCTGGGATGCGCCTGTTGTTTTGTAACCTTTTCCCTCTTTCCTGTTTTAGTTCTATCTCAAGTTGGTTCCTGGGATAGGTGAGAGAAAATGATGAAAATTTGGGATTTCCATATATTCTTCTAAAGAATGCCAACTTTTTAAAAGTTAAGTTTTAATTCATAATCAATAGAAAGTTATCAGTTATAGGGCCCTCCCGGGTGGCGCGATGGGTTAAAGTGCAGCACTATGAAGCTGTCTGCAGCCACTGCAGCACAAGTTCAATTGCCAGGGAGCTGGCCACATGGCACAGCAGAACTCTCGTCTTGCCCGCTGCTCCCCTCAACAGTGTATTTCAGTAAATCTGTGTGTTCTGCTCCCCACTCTGTTTCTGGTGAATCCTCTCACTCTCTGCACCTCTGACCTACACTCCCATTCTTCTACACAAAAATAAACAGACAAAAAATAACCTTAAAACCATATCTGGCATACTGTAAGAATTCAGGAAATTATATCTTTAGTGTGAAGTTGGTCATGAATTCTCTTACTTCCTACTTATTTGACACCTTGGGTTCTATTTTCCTAATTCAGTGATTGTAAAGGATGTTGGTAACATTTTGGGAATGTTGAAGTATATAAAGCTTTCTAAATTCTCATGTCAGAGAAGGGACATTGCTGGAAGGGGCTGCCCTTTCTCCTTGCCCAGGCTCTGAATTGACCCCTGACCATCCTATTGTCTCAAGCCACCCCTCTTCACCGCTGCCTGGTGAGCTCCTCCACTTCTAGCTGCAGACTGTTGATCTTGTCTCCAAAGTCCTGCTTGAAGAGACGGTTGTCCAACTCAGCCGATTGGCGGCCTCGCTCAGCCTGGCGCAATCTGGATGTGAGCCACATGAACTTGTGATAAAAAACAAAAAGCCATGGGGGGGTGGGGGATGGGGAAGGAAGACCAAGTTCACAACACAAAATAAGACAACCCAAGGAAGAAGGTATGGAGAGACAGAAGGAGGGAAACAAAACAAAACAAAACAAAAAACGTTAAAGGACATGGGGAGAAATTATGGAGAGGAAAGATGGAAAAGAAACAAATTCTAAAGAAAAGCAAGATGAAGGTGAACCAGGCAGAGGAAAAGTTGATTTTCCATTTTTTTATTCTAGTACTACAGTTTACAGCCATTAGATGATAAACAATAAAACATCACTTTTAGAAAATCCATAACCAAAGCCAACCTCAAGTACACAGTAATTAAAGTTAAAATCACTTTTTTGTTTTTATTTCCTAGTAAGTTTGGTACTTTAAAATTTTGTCTTACACACATAACTAGAACTTGCAAATGGGCAACTACCTTCTTATATGTGGAGTTAGAACATTTTTCTGCTCTTTTCCATAAACCACAAATTATATGAAATCATCAGACATTACATACCAACTCTTACCCAGGCTTTGGATTATTATATAGGGAAAAGCCTTTGTCAGAGTTCGGCCATCTGTTTCCTTCCATTCCTATCAAGCGGAGTGTGCCTAGGGTCAAACAACTCAGCAGTGGGTCTGCATAAATTCCAGGTCATATTCTCTGGAAGATACTAATGAATGTTTATTTCTATATATCGTATAACTTTGCACCTATAAAGAAGCATGTTCTAAAAGGTGAAAACAGTTGAGGCTGTTTGTAATAGAATTTGGAAGCATGCTATGTGTAGTCCTTGGAATTTTTTTGTTTTGGTGTCTGAACTTTCCTTCTAAAGCGCACAGAAAAGGCAATTCATCACCACAAACGGATGATGAAGATAAGACATTAAGGGATTTATTAATATAGGTGCAAAATTATAAGACCTAAAAGAAGTTCAAGAGCACAGGATTTTCCATGAGATTGTTAAATGCTCTTTGACTTGAATTTGGTTCAAGTCTGTAAGGACTGATAACAGCACACATGAAATCTATTTTACTCCCTTAATTATGCCTCTCCCCCACACCCAAGAATAAGGTAAAGAATTTCAAGAGCTGGAAGCTAAGGGACTATTTCTGGCCCCATCTATGCAGCTTAAATGCTGCAAAACAGATTAGAATGAAAAAAAAAAACCAAATTTTTGTAAAGACGTTTGAAGGAATGAAGGCTTATATAAAGTCTGTTCCCCACAAATTAAAAGAAAAAAAAATCAAAATATTTATAGGGTTATTTACAATGTAAAGCCTAGAAAGTGTTAGAACTGTGGTCACTTAGAAAAAGAAGCCCTGCAAAGTACTCTTTGTGGATACCTACTGGGAATCTTTATAGATTAAATAATGGTAACGAACTTAAGTTTTATCTATATATCTATGTCCTACTCTGAAATGGTCTTTTAATAGATTGTTAAGTTTCCCAGAAAATTTAGCAAATCCCCCCACTGGAATGAACAAAAGCTAACAGTAACTCTTAAGTAAAGCTTTCCACTCAAAAGATGAGTCAGGAAACCACTACTCATATCTATACCTTTCATATTTACTCCAAAATGAAAAGCAGGATAGATTTGAAAAATGTGTAGTGTAGCTTTTTTTAATAGGAGAAAAGTGTTTTTATTCAGAGAGAAATTCTCTGATCTATTTAAATAGGAAGTGGATTCGCAGGGAAATGGCAGAGGTGGAGATGACAGTATCAGGAGGGTGTTCCCAAGTGTCCACGTTATTATGTTATCATAGGTTATCTAACCACTAACTGTATATCTACGCACTTTAAAGAAATAAGCATTTTAAGGATGCTGTTTTAATTTTTTCTCCGAAGTCACTAAGGCAAAAATGTTGCAAGCAATCTTGGTTACTGAGAATAGAACTGTAGTGAAATACTAAGTAGTTATCCTTGGCTTGGGAATTAAACTTATGTAACCAAATTGAAAAGAGGTCATGGCCTAAGAGACACAGAACTACTTTAGAAGAGTCCAAGTTCATACAGTAGTCACCTCTAGCTCATCACATTGCAAAGGCAGAACAGGCTTGCTGATACAGACAATGCACCTAGAACCTGCTTTGTTAGGGACTGTGTTGTGAAGGCATTGATAACATATGTACAGAGCATCATTCCCTAGACTTTTCTTTTTAGTGGTCTGTTTATTTACTGTTCAACTCGGAAGTAATTATTCAAAGTTTATTAGGTATTTAATTAAGAGCTTATACTAACTCTGGGGAAATAATAAAGAAGAAGAAAAACACAGTCTGTATATCAAACTGCTTTTTTAAAAAGTCCAACAAATTCAAAGTCAATTTTTGGTAACATTTCATATAGAATCAGAGTTTAAATGTAATAACTTTTGGATCTGCTTCCCTTTACAACTCAGTTGTGATACCAGACTTGAGAGATGACCATTTGCAAAAATTCCTAGTGTTTTGGGATCAGTTTATTAGCTGCACTATTTAAGGTCTTTGCCTGTTTCACCAAATCCTTTTCACTAAATTAATAAAATAAAAACAAAAATGAAGTAGGAGGGGAATGAGAAAATGGATAAACAGGAAAGACAAAGATAGCAAAAGAATAAGTCAGTTTACTACTTGAAGAGAAAAGTCACTTAGCTCTGCTTTAAACGCCGAGTCAGAAACTACTGAAAAAACAATTTGATAACTTTTCAAACATTAACTTATGAACAGTACAATTGATTTACTAATAATAAACATATAAATGCTTATTAGTAAGCATTTAGATAACTTACTAGAGAGGCCAATACATTTTTACTTAAAATCAGGTAAACTGGAGGCTTCAAGGCTATTTGTTGATTTGTAATTAACTTCTGAGTTAACATCAACAGGCAGTACTGCATAGGACCATCCTGGGTAAGAACATCTGAATAAAAGTTACCCATTTATTTACTAAATGAATGCATTGTAAGTTCCCTACACTGCCACAGGTCCAATGAGACAACTTAAGAAGATCAATTAACAAATAAGGAGATCACATTCTCATCAGAAGATATTTGTCTATAGAAGGCTATAAGATGAGGTATAAAGTGACAAGTGCTGCAAGTGGTGTGGATAAAAGACATGGGAAAGCCAACGTGGACAGATAGATTATTTTTAGCCTGTAAGGGGTATCAGAATAGACGACGGAGCTGGCATTTGAGCCTTATGGTGTCTGAAAAACAAGGGATAAGAGAAAAGATATGTTTAATTGGTGGAATTACTAGGAAAGGAATGAATGGAGAGGATGGGGATTGTGTCCAGAGACCATAGATTAATTTTGTTCAGGTCAAGAAGGGTGATCAGGGGGTATTAAAAGTGGCAAGAGAGGTTCAGAACATTAAATGACTGTTGGCAGCTTTGTCACCAGGAAGCAAATGGGGGTTTTAGACAAAAAGAGAGATGAGAATAGCACAGGGAGAGGATGTGCTTTGGTAACTGAACTGTAGGTGTTGGTGGGAAATAGCTGGTCAGATAATGAAAATGTAAGACTGGTCTCCAGGAGGTCAGAGCTGGAAACGTGAAGAGTTGTGGTATGAGGTGTCAGAGGAAACTAGTGGGCTGCTGAGCAGAAAGCAGAGAAAAGGGAGACGGAGGAGAGAAAAGGATTAAAGTTAAAGAAGGGCTTCAGTATCCTCCTCACCTAGCACAAATGGATTTCAAGGTTTTAGTGATGAACAGTAAAACAACAGAATTAACAGCACACTTAAAATTTCTTTCATCCATATAAGTATTGAAATTGAGTTAAGTAAGAGGGTTAGGGTTCAAAGCAGTCAAGAAAAGTGACATTTCTTAAAGGCATTTTTGGTGACATCTTAGAACATATGAAATTTCACTGGCTTGTTTTCTACCACCATGCCTGATGTTAAGGTGGAAGAAACTTAGGTTTCTAGTTATCAGATACATAGCACATTCTCTTCACCTGCAGCATTGAAAGGTCAATGTGTTTTCATGAAAGAAATAGCACTTTTACCTTTGCTCGAGCTGTTTAATGGTCGCAGCCATCTGATTAGTCTTCTCTTCCAAGCGACTGTTTAGTTCACTTTTCTGTTTTACGCCTAAATCTGAACTCTGTTATGGAAAAGAAGGGTCATCAACTTCTCATATTCTGGTATAAAAGTTAATGGGATATATTACTCAGTTGGGACATTAGGCTAGAAAGTATCAATTATTTAGAGGATAAAAAGGTCTTCCTTTCCCCATTACAATATACAAAACAGCTATAGAAGATTCTATAATGTTGTAATTCCTACAGTGGTTACTGGCAGCTAATCGCAAGATGAGAAGTGACTCTTCCCTTTTGTATCTGAGGTGTGATTCTAGAGAACAAGAGGTCCAGAGACCAGTGAGCTTACTCCTTCTATTTCCCCTACCTGTAGCTTAAAGGCCAGTTCATGCTTGAGAGCCCTGAGATCATCCAGTTGCTGTCGCAGAGACACCAGGGCATCCTGCTTCTCGCAGACATCCTTCTCCAGCATCTTCATCGCCAGTTCCATCTCCTGTCTCATGCTGATCTGGAGCTCCAGTTCTTTTTCAACATCCTGCTCCCAAAGATAAATATATCAGTTACTGTCTCCTCAATGAAGTACCAGCCATAAAATTCCATAGAAAAAGATAGACCATACTTTTGGGTCTGATATCCTGGCAAAATAGCTATAAGCTAGCATTCATGCAGGTATTAACAATAAGAATACTTAGGAGAATTTCAACGACATTTACTCAATAATTTATAAATCTGAAAAATTTGGTATGCCAAAGATAGTGCTAATTAATATTTAAAGTACATATATACTTGAGGTACTTCATTAGACATTAAAGCAGAGACAACTGGTATCATCTCCTATTATAGAAATATAATAGTATTGTAGTAGCCACATAAACAATTATAATTTTCTTCAATCTGGATAGTACTGACATATTCAAGAGCCCAAGGAACTGGCTAGCATCCTAATTACTGGGATGGTCATTATGCTAGCTGAACTTGCATATTAACATGAAACTTCATTTCAGCTGTTACTATTGCCATATTGTTTAGATGACCAATGATACCAGGACCTGAGTTCCTCTATAGCCAGGGCATACCTACATCTTGCCCACTTTCTTGATTTCTTTCCTTCATAATAAAATTTCATATGATAATAAAAGGATATGGAATTTTAGTGTAGGATTTTTACTGTGTTGCTTAACCGAGGTTTCCTTTGTACATGGTTAGCATGACAGAAAATGTATCAAATTGCTTCTTAAAATGAAGATGTATTTCTAGGACTCTTTTTATTGAAAATATTTTATGATCTAATTCCAAATACATAGACAAAATGATAATTCTTCAAATTTGTTAAAATAACATTGTTTTTTCAGGAAACCTGAATTTATATTCTGTACAGTATTAGCGTATCATAATTTTTAGCACTTATCAGGTCACTCATTATTTTCAGGTTTCTCCCTATTCTTGTTTATGATACCATCTAAACTGCAGGAAGAGGGATAAATTAATACACAAATAATTGGATAAAACTCACTACCTTGTATATTCATAAATTATAATTTTTTAAAAAAGACTTATTTATTTATATATACAGAACTGGAGTACAGGATAGAGGGGCAAGGGTGGTGAGAAGATCCACCAGAGACAGAGTTGGGAGCAGAACAGGCAGATAGACTATGGGCAAGACAGGAGCAGTCTGCTGCGCCACGTGGGTCACCTCCAGGGCCGGGGAGTGACTAACACTGAAGCGGCTGCAGCCAGATTGCGGTGCTGCATTCTAACCTGCTGTGCCACCAGGGAGGGCCAATACTTTATAATTTCTAAAAATATATGTAGACTAATATTGGATGATACTTTTTATTTAGGTATTATAACAATAATAACTTAAAAAAACAGCTAACGATAAGAGAACAGCTCTACATTAATGATTCTCATTAATGAGGGTTGACTATTTAAAGGGGAACGAACATATTATAGCCCTCACAGGGTGGGGACTAAGGTAGTGTAACAGGGTAGCCTAACAGCAGGAGTGGGGATTGCAGTTTTAAAAAGTAGGTTCCGCCCCTCCCTGGTGGCGCAGTGGGTTAAAGCACTGCACTAAGAAGCTTAAGCCACTTCCGCATGAGTTCGATTCCCGCCCACCCCGAGGTGACCACATGGTGCGGCAGACCTCTCCTGACCCACCCGCTGCTCCCCTCAGCAGTGTACTTCATCAATCTGCCTATTCTGCTCCCCACTCTGTCTCTGGTGAAGCCTCTCACCCTCCGCATCTCTGGCCTGTACCCCAGTTCTGTACGAATAAATAAATAAATCTTTAAAAAAAAAAAAAGTAGGTTCCATATAGTTTCTTTTCTTTCAATATAAGCTATAAAAGCACAACAAAAATGGTGAAATCATACTGGTGGCTGAAGACACTCAGAAAATGGACTGAGACAGTATTACAGAGGATAGGGATAGTGAGAAACAGTTTTATAGAAGCCATAAAACTTTGTTAGAACACTACTATTCCTGTAAGGTAAAAGCTCTTGGTCTGTAAGATAAAAGCTGTAAGTAGGCCACTACCTTTCAGTGTAGTGAAACTATTAGAACATAAGCAACATTTACCAGTCGTAATTGTGTCTCCTCCTTTAAATGCTTTCTTGCTTCACTTAGTGCTTGCCCTTCTGAAGTTCTGTCTTGCTTGGGACCCTTGAAAAGACAGAGAAATGAGTACAGATGAAAGGATTTAAAAGAATCTTCACAGAGTTAGCTAACACTAGCATGGCTATTTAGCAAGGAAAAAAATGATACCTAAGTAGGTATAGCAATTGAACAAAGGTAACAAAAGAATCAATTCAGTCTAGTACAATACTTAAGGTGGATTAGGAATTTCTTGCCATTTTGTATAAAGCCCCATTCTTGTCATTTTGTATAAGACAAGTTACCAAACCAAGTTGTAGAAGTCTTAAAAATCAGCTTCTAAAACTAAAACAGTATTCGCTGTAACATATGAGTTAAATCAAAGATTCAACGATCCTTTCTCCAGAGTTCTAGCAGCTGATGTTTCTAAACCATGCAGGGAGATCACAGCTAAAAATAAGTCAGTCATCAGAAAATTCTGAGCAGTCACAGCTGTTTTCACAAAGTCCTCTCATTTAAAGTCAAACATGTTACTACAGAAAACTACTCAAGCCCCCACTCAAAGCCTAGTTACTTACTCATTAGTAACTGTTTTAATATAAACTGTGACCCCTGGATTCCCAGTTCCAAGGAAACTCATAGGTTACAAGCATAAAGATAAAAGGGAGTAGAGTGGGAGATATTTCTACAACTAGCAATACTAACAGCAGTAGGAGTTGCTAGTTAAATCATGAAAGGTAGAAAATAATCACTCACAGCAATCTGGAACTATTTTCAGTCATAATAAATGGCTTACTTACTATTATATATTAAATTATCTCCTCTAGTCTAGAAAGCTTGGAGTTGTGCAATATGTAAAAGGTTTTCAAAAAATCTGTAAATATATATACATATAAATATGTCTATATCTATATCTATATCTATATATACATGTATATATAATTACTGTAAGAGTTAAAAGTTCTAGAAAATTCACTTATATATAATAATTCTTTTTTCAGTGGTATCAAAGAGGTAGCACTTTTTTAAAACAGTAAAAACTGTGTCTAAAAATAATATATGATTTATTAAACACAGTACAGATCATTAGTACACAAAAGCAAGAAACTGAATTAGCTTCTTGAAATCTCTAAACAGATACAGGTGGCAGTAAAGCTATAGAAGAAGAGACATTATCTTCCCGTAACCTTCACCATCTACTCAGTACTGTAGAGTGTGAGTAAAAAGAGTTCACTGAATCTATGCAACTACTTGCTACTTCCAAGAAACTTCAAAGCTTCTCTCAGTGTTAACACATTGAGACAAACTCTCTAGTACTTTGCAAGTCCAGTATGAGATTAACCTTCCGATTGGTTTCCAAGAGGTAGGAGCTTTCCTCTTTAACTCGTTCCATTTCTTCTTGCAAGGTAATGATCCTATTGTTTGCAACTGCAAGCTGTTGGTACAATTAAAAAATCTTTTATCAACACAGGTTAATTTTGAAAGTATGTTAGATTAAAAACAAAGACAACTCTTCTTTTATGCATGAGCCTTTTTTTCAGTACCAAAATATTAACACTGTTACTACAAGAGTGTCCTCATGGGTAACTTGTAACTATGGTTAGTTAAAACATTTATTCCTGGGACCATCTGGTGGCACAAGAGGTTAAGTCTCAGCACCAAGAAGTTATTGGCAGCCACTGAACACGAGTTGTGTCCCCAGCCAGGGAGCTGCCCAACAATGCACAGCCTATTGCTCCCCTCAGCAGTATATTTCAGTAGATCTACCTGTCTGCTCCCCACTCTGTCTCTGGTGAATCCTCTTACCCCCTGCACCTCTGGCCTGTACCCCAGCTCTTGTATGCATGCATAAGTAAACAAAACATATCTTTAAAGAAATATAACTATTTTTAAAATGTTTAATAAAGAGGTTACCTCATGGCTTGGGATGAGCTCATGCATTCCCCCATAAGACTCTATTCTATAGATGAGTTTTTAAAAATTAAAGAGATGAGGGCCTTCCCTGGTGGCACGGAGGGTTAAAGCGCAGCACTGCAAGCTAGCCACAGGCACTTCTGTGCCAGTTCGATTCCAGACCCTGGAGGTGATCCACATGGTACAGTACATCTTTCCTGTCTCACCGGCTGTTCCCCTCAGCACTGTACTTCGCTGATCTGCCTGTTCTGCTCCCCACTCTCTCTCTGGTGAATCCTCTCACTGCCCCTGCACCTCTGGCCTGTACCCCAGTTCTGTATGCATAAATAAATCTTAAAAAAGAAAATAATTTAAAAAAATTAAAGAACTCCAAACCTTTCACTCTAAAAGATCCCATTAACCACTGATGAGATTTTTTCATTTCAGTACCTAAAGATATGGCAATAGATATGGCAATATTAGTATGCTAATTTACATTCCCATCCCATAGGAGGGAAAAGTAAAGTGGAAACCTGCTCCTGCTCTGCACCCACTGAACTTAATTCCCTACAGCCAAAGTAAAGGTGCTGAGTGAGGCTGGGAGAGGAACTGAGCGCTCCTCTAAGCCAGGACAGGCTCCCCTTTCATTAACTCCTCACTGTCAATGGGTGGAGGTTCTACTTGGCTCCTCTTCTGTTGTGGTAAGTAGAGAGGAGCCAGGACTCAATTGTGCTTTTTTTTTTTTTTTTTTTTTGCATACAGAACTGGGTACAGGCCAGAGGCTTAGGGGCGGTGAGAGGCTTCACCAGAGACAGAGTGGGGAGCAGAACAGGCGGATCGACGAAGTACACTGCTGAGAGGAGCAGCGGGTGGGTCAGGAGAGGTCTGCCACACCATGTGGTCACCTCTGGGGCAGGTGGGAATTGAACTCATGCCACCAGGGAGGGCCTCAATTGTGCTTTTTAAATGCAAGTCTTGTCAGCCCATTTATCTGTGTTCTGTGAATCAAATTAATATATAAGGAAGTAATTCTGGGCCAGTGAGCCTGCTCTTCAGAGTTAAGTGCCTCCTCAGGTTCTTCTTACTTTAGCAACATCAAAGAAAGTGTCAGATTGCAACTGCAGATTCAAGCACACTTTCTAATTCAGCTTTACCAATAATAAAGGGGATATTTATATCTATCTGAATCTTTTCATGAGTTCAGAGCATAGGAAGGGAAAAGGGATATTATTATAATTTACTAGCCCTCTTAAATCTAAAGTATATGGCATAAGGAAAAGCAGACCTGAACAGGCTTTTATCTGATCATTATAAAAAGTATTCACAGTGCTCACTCATATCTCAAGGTATCTTCCTGATTAGCGCTTTACTTTGGTTTTATTATTTTAAGATTTATTTTTGTTTACTTATGCATATAATTACTGGTGTGTAGGCCAGAGCTGAGGGGGACAACAGAATTCGACAGAGACAATGCTGAGGGGAGCAGTGGGTGAGACAGCAAAGGTCTGTTGTGCCATGCGCGTCACCTCCCTGACCAGGGATGGAACACAGGCCACAGTGGCTGGTGATAGCTTGATAGCCTGAGACTTTAAACCCTGCACCAGTAAGGAGGCCCAACTTGGTTTTATTTGTCAAATTTATTGCGCTATATGTAACAGAACAGTTTTAATTACCAATAGAAAAGCTAACGTCTTCACCGTCTAAAAAATGTTATCTAAGAATTTTCATGGAAACATCTAATACAGATGTAGCTACATCTAAATATGTAGCTTAGCCTTTAACAAATTAAGAATAAATACATTATTCAAAGTTAAAACATGAGGCTATTTCCCTATTCTTATTTTAGGGACATTTTAAGGAACTTTCACATATATAATCTTATCTGATTTTCAGAGGAATTATGAAGCTGAAAGGGGAAGTACAGATCCCCTCATTTCCCAGTGACAAACTGGGCCTCTTGGAGATCAAGTGACTTGCGTGTCCAGGGGCACGTGGCACGTAAGAAAGCATTATTGCTCTTCTGAACAGTGCTCTTTGTGTTACCGACCACACCTTCCAAGGAGAGATAAGGCCCTCAGTGTGAAAGTTTGTTAATATGGCACATACAAGTTAGTATCTAGCACATACAAAGCTTCTGTCTAGCATCTAACACATAGTATCCAAATTTTGGTTAAATGAAAACGATGAATTTCATGTTATACACTAAACATTTATTCTAAGCTAGCTCAGACATGACATTCTCACAAAAGAAAGCCAGATACTCAATGAGTCCAGATTCTAGGTCAATCATAGTCCAACTGGATAACTGAGACCCTTCAGATAAACTAGTTGACAGTGCCAGTTAGGATAAGGCATTTAATTCTCTCTTTCTCTCATATATACACACACACACCTTTCACACTCACTATCTGTGATTCACTCAGTAGTCTTTCTCTCACACATCACATTTCTTTTGTCTCTTACATATATCCCTCTCTCCAGTTCCCCAATTTACACACATTTCTTCCTCTCTCTTTTCTTCTTTTTCTTCACTACCCTCTGACAACCACTCCTGCCCAACTTAATTAGAAACAATGGTTAAAAAAAAAAAGAGTTAATTGACCAACAGTAGGTACAATCTGAAAAATCAAGCCCTTTATTTCCAAAGTTCCATAGATATTATTGGTCCCTCCTAATGCACATCATTAAATTCTATATCAAATAAAGAATTTCCAAAAACACTTACTTCCTCTGTCAGTTTAGTATTGGATTTTTCCAATGCATCCACTTTTGCTTGAAGGTTATTTACAGTAGCACTATCAAGAGAATTAAAAAAAAAAAAATGGGTAACAGAGTCAAGTTTATATTTCATGGTCAACTGTAACCATAGCTTTGCTTGACTAACAACGCCATAGTTCTCTGCAGACATTATTATTACTGTAAGTGCCATTTGGCCAGAGCCTAGCTCAGTGCCTGGCAAATAGGAATTCTATGTATACTTGTTCATATTGTCTGAATTTATCCTAACCTAAATCCCCAGTAAGACCCCCAGTAAAGTATTTATTTGTTCTTTACTTCAGATGTCTGTTGAGTTCTTCTACATAGTTCTTCTGATCCAGAATAGCAGTAATTTGGCCATCTCTGGGGGAAAGGCAGATGCAGAACAGAGAGAAAATTGAAATAAAATTACATTAGAAATATCAAGGTATTGTTCTACTCAAGTTTTCACAAAACACAATAATGTACTGAAGTACAGTACTCCTCAGTGTATCAACACGACTCAGAGGTTTAAAAATAGAAATTAAAAATAAAACTAAAAAGGCACCCTTATTAATAAAACCCTTGTGACTGCTTACAAACCTTAATAATTGAGGCTATTTGAGGCAACCAAGGGAGAGAACTTTTCTTAGTGTAATTTTAATTTTTTTAGCTACACTAGTATTTATAACAACTTTCTGTTTATCATAGGAATTGAATCAACTTTTAACTGTTGATTTTAACTGTTTTCAAAGGTATTATATACTTGTCTTTAAGTGTTACTGACAGGGGCCTCCCTGGTTGTGAAAGGGGTTAAAGTGTAACACTATGAAGCTATCTACAGCCACTGCAGCACAAGTTCAATCCCTGGCCAGGGAGGTGACCCACATGGCACAGCAGACCTCGTCTGTTCCTCCTGCTGCTCCCCGCAGCAGTGTATTTCAGTGGACCCACCTGTTTTGTTTCACACTCTGTTTCTGGTAAAACCTCTTACCACCACCCCACAACTCTAGCCTGTACCCTGGTTCTTGCATGCATAAATAAATAAATCTTTAAAAAAATAAAATAAAAAATACTTAAATGTTACTGATAAATCAAAGTGAATGGCATAAAAAGCTTTCATAAATATCTAGTGTTTATTCTTATACAAAAAAATTAAGTGTGGGGAAAATGAGGTTTATATCTGAAACCAAGTAATCCTCAGTAGGCAAAAGTTAAATAGCCTGACTTTTCAACTAAAAGACAGGATCAAACATCTCTACAACTATTTAAAAAACAAGTGATATAGTCTTAGTTCAATGTTCAGACTAAACTATCAAGTGCTCAATTTATAAAGGTGTGAGGCATGCTTCTGATCTCAAAATATTATATAAATATTTTAAAAGCTTTTTATTTTGAACCAATCTTAGATTTACAAAAAGAGTTGTAAAAGTAGTACAGAATTCTGTTCCTTCATTCTTCCTCTCTTCATTCAGCAACCTCTAATGTCAACACTTTGAATAATCCATGATACATATGTAACACTGTAAATTTTGAGCAAACAGAGAATGTGATCCTTCTGGTTAAGAATACCATGTTTATAAGGCCTCCTTAGTGGTGGAAGGGGTTAAGACACAGCACTATGTAGCTATCTGCAGCCACTGCAGGAGTTCGATCTCGGGCCACCCTGGCCAGGCAGCTGACCCACATGGTGCAGCAGACCTCTCCTGTCCTGCCTGGTATTCCCCTCAGCAGTGTATCTGAGTATATCTCTCTGTTCTACTCCCCAATCTGTTTCTGGTGAACCCTCTCACCCCCTGAATCTCTAGTCTACGCCCTAGCTCTTATATGCATAAATAAACAAATCTTAAAAAAAAAAA